ACTACTAACTATGCTAAATATAAAGGATGATAAATGCAAATGAAAATATTAAACCTCATTAAAAAAAAAAAAATCTAACCATGCACAATCCTAAATCTGTGGTAAGTTCTGTGGGTGGATCACAGCTCAGGGGCCTGAAATTTTCTGAAAGAAATGGTCATTATGGATTCAATATTTTTAATACCATTAAATTATGATTTGTGCCTACACAACATTAATTTTAAAAAAGACAAATCCTTGGTGTGATTTTTTTTCCAGCTCTCATTTCCATCTTAGCATAGAATTGCAGGAGAATATTTAATTGCACATTACAAGGAAGTGAAGGATATAAATAAAAAACAATTGTTGAGGAGCTAACATGGAATTTCATTTTTAATTTATACCAGCAAATCAGGGACAGGTCAGTGACAGGCCTTCAGAAATCTAAAATTTAGCTACAGAGTATACCACAAACTCCTGGATTATTTTCAGACTTTAAAAAGTCTATAACTAGTTCTTTATGCTTCTGAAATACAGAGTCTGTTGAGAGGCAGAACACAGTACTGAGTGGGTCAACACAGCCAGGCATGTTCCTACAGATATTATCTGTATTTCTGGATGGACCTTTCCACTGAATTATTACAATATATTCTAAGGTTTAATCTGCAGATACGTGGAGCTTCTGCTTCTATTATTTACTGCACAGAACTAGGGAATCATGAAATTGCCATAGAGAGCTAGATGAGCTGCTCCTAAAAAGGAAGATGATTCCACACATGGTGAATATAGACATCCATCATCAGGCACGGGGTAAAGAAATGAGTTTTGAGATTCCTAGATGGCACTGTGAAGGGAAAGAGTGTTTTCTTCTCAAATGTTTGGGAACTTTACTGGGAAAATTGTGCAAGTACAGTCCAGTGCTGAGTGATCTGTGATCTGTACAAGACCATACAAGACCATAGTAGCAGCATTAGGCTGCACTCAAGAGTGTAGCAAAACATTTGTATATGACATGTATAATATTGCACAGGTATTATTCCTTGTTTTTCCAAAAGCTAAGAAAAGTGAGACTATGTTCAAGGAAGGAGGATTAAACAGGAGTAAAGAAGCACTCGTGACACAAGTCAAAGCTAGTGCATGATGAGTGAAAACAGACACTGTTAAATTTCCTCTTGTGTCAGGACTGTGATAGGGAAGTGGTTAGGCATGGCAGGGAGACTGTCTGTTTGTTATTCAGAAGCTGCATTGAATTGCTCCTTATTTTAAGTTGCAGTCTGTTACTTTTACCAGACAGCTGTGTTTTGCCTTTTCCACCTGTCACTGTGTGGCATATTAAAATCCATTGACATGACAGCACAAAGCACTGGCATCATTACAGCAGAATGGCCAAATCTTAGAACTGAGCTATGAACAGGAATAGCTGTGGGAATCCCTGTATCTAATCTTCTCTTCCCCACAAAAATTAGTGTCTCAGGGAGAAAAGTTCTAATCAGATGGAAAGAAAAAAGATCCACTGAATTAGAAAATTTCCATTATGAAACAATAAGAGACATTCTCTAAAATTTAAAAAAAAAAATTGCTGTCACATGTCAGTTGTGCCTACAAGAAGCATATACTTAAATTTTTATAGGTAGATAGCTACTGAGATCCTCTACTCAGAGGGAATTAAAGTCATCAAGCTTATATTGTCATTTCCTTAGCAATAAGATATAAATGTTCAGTCATTCCCTCTGAGCAGCTTAGAGTTTCTGGAAGTGGACACTACCTTATTCCTCCTAACACACTGTAAGGAGATGGCTTTATATAAACTTGTTTTAGACAAAGTGGACAAGCTGCCTTCTTTGTTCCTCATTTTTCTTCTCCTCTGGTAGAGTCATAGTCAGCTATTGCTCAAATTACTATTTCATTGACTCTTACTCCATATATACTTACCCCACCAATTTCAGGCTAAAATACTTTCTGTGGTTCCTTAAATACAATCATTGTAATTTTAGTTTTCACTCAAAAGATTTCTTTGTTTCTCAAAACAGCTAACTTGAGAAAGAGTAGATATGTTTTCAAGATCTTTTCTAGTAAAAAAAAAAATACGTCTACCTATCCGGATAAAACTTTTTTTCTTGAAAGCATCTTGTAGTTATAGATCAAAGAATAACTATGATTTCCAGCTTCCAGTCAGTATTAACAGAAATTATTTCCTCCACAGAAGATTTCATGAAAAAATTCATCAGATTTCATTTAGAACTTGACTCCTTTATAGATTTTCTTTTAAATATATTCTTATATTCTGATTTCTACAATTTATGAAAACATCTTGGATTCTGAGTTTATAAAGTTTGGTTTTACTATGTCAGTAATGAGATTTTGAAAACAGATACAAGTTTCTTTATCCACATTTCTGTCACGGATCATTAGCTTTTTCTTCTACTGTATTTTTAAATTTAACATAAACTTTAGAATTCACACTATTAAAAAGGATGGAAAGCTAGTTGCACACAAATGAAATAGCAGACTTTTACATTAGTCTTTTTAATAACACTCTGCAATATTACTTCTTAATTCCAGTGGCCTTAATAGGAAGTACTACAAAGACCAACAATTAAGGGCAGTTGATGACGCCTTGTGGGTAGCAAGAACTCAGCAATAGGAAGTAAACTGAATTAACATGATTTATTAGACCATCACTCCTCCTATTTCTGTCTTATGATATTAATTATTCAGTTTCATTCACTCCAGCATATATTTCTCATTTCCTTCAGCAAAACCATATGTTAGTACCTTTTTGATTTGTTTTAGTAATTTTAAAGTATCTGGCATTATAATTCAATCTGAAAACTGAATAAATAAACTTCAGAGTAATATTTCAGTTAATTCTGCTGTAAACTATAGTTTTATTAAACCAAAAAGATAATTATCATTTTATGTTTCATGTATTTACCGTATGAAAAATGGACATATTTATTTAGTAACTGAATTGTAACTGCACCAAAAAAATTCCAAATCCATTAAATAATGAGTATAAATTTCTGGTATATCTAATCTCTAAGATATTACTAGGATAGGACTTTTAGAAGAAGAATGTGAGTCAGCACTGCAGCCAGTTTTCAAAGCACTGTAAAAGAATACATCTTCTGCTTGTATTTTCTGCTCATATTTACTTATGAATGGTGAAAAATCCCACACTGAAGGGTTTGGAAAAAACGGTTACAGTTGAAGGAAATCACCTGGTTAGATGGTCAATGTCTCAAAATTTATTATATTGAATTTGGCCTCCTGAAAATACATGTGAGAAGCAAAGAATTAGTTTGTATTCACAAATGAGGACTGTCACATGTGAGAGACAGTAGGAAGAAAAGTCATTACAGATAAGCTTTACAACATGAATGGCTGCAAATTGATTACACATGATAAAATAAATTAGATACTTGCCAACCAAAATAAAAAAATAGTAAAATGCTATGCGACATAGCAAAAGAAGTTTTGCCTCTCTACATGGTATTAAAGTTACAGTTAAAAGGCTATGTCAAATTCTATCTGCACACTTCAGAAAATGTGAAAATACTTGGAAGAATAGAAAACAGTTTCAAAACTAATCAAACAGTCAGGAAAATATCCTTAAGACATGAATTATTGTATCTTACACAGGAAAATATGGTGCAAGAGTGCAAGTCTTAAAGTGTAACAAAATCAAACAATAGGATGTAGAAATTAGACAAAATTCTATTTTTAAGTAAAATTACATTTGTAAACAGTAGGTGGAACTGATTACTGAAGCAGGATTTGAAAGGAACTGATTTGAGACACTTGAAATCAGAGCCCTTAAAACAGGATTGTTTTTGAAACAGATGTTTGGTTCCTTTTCTTTAAAAGGAAAATTTCTACAGTTTCTCTTGGCAAATTAGAGTAGATTTCCCTAGTTCACAGCTTGCTCCAAACCAAAAACATCAGATGTACTAAACTGAGCAATGATTTCACAATGATTTCTGTGCCACACTATGTTGTGGTGGCCTGCTCTGCAAGATTCAACAGCAACACACGGGAAAGTAATCTATAAAACAATAAATTGAAGGTAAATGGAACTTGGAGATTCCTTGAAACCTGGAAAAATATCTCTTTATAACTGTTGGAAACAAGCTAGTTATCCCCAAAGTTCCCCACGATTAACTCATTGTTTTGCCAGCAAAATAGATTCAATTAATTGCATACAGTCTGTGGGACAAGTGCATTGTTTGTCAAAACTTGTTTATTCCAGTCTCCTTCCAGTGTACTCCACTCTGATCCTGACAAGCAGTCAGGCCAGATTAAGAGTGTACACCCAGGTACTCTTTTTAAAAAAAAAATCTCATTTATACTCTTTGTCTTTTTTCTCTCCTTTTCTTTTCTCTTTTCTCTTTTCTCTTTTCTTTTCTTTTCTTTTCTTTTCTTTTCTTTTCTTTTCTTTTCTTTTCTTTTCTTTTCTTTTCTTTTCTTTTCTTTTCTTTTCTTTTCTTTTCTTTTCTTTTCCTTTCTCCTTTCCTTTCCTTTCCTTTCTCTTTTCCTTTCTCTTTTTCTTTCTCTTTGTTTTTTCTCTTCTCTTCTCTTCTCTTCTCTTCTCTTCTCTTCTCTTCTCTTCTCTTCTCTTCTCTTCTCTTCTCTTCTCTTCTCTTTTCTCTTCTCTTCTCTTTTCTCTTCTCTTCTCTCTTCTCTTAACCGTAGAAACTAAACTTTCCATTTTAAAACACTGACTTTCTGCACATTTTCTGCTACAGTTTAACAACTAATATATTAAAGCCACAAATGTCACAACCCCACTACTAAGTCTAAAAAATAATCATGCTTTCTAAGCTTAAAAACTTACAAATTTCTTTCAACAGTGTTTTTAAATACTAGCACCTATCCAGTCATGTAGACAAGTAAATCTTGGCTTCTTAACCACAGTACACTCTACAAAATTACCTTCAACATTCAAAAAGGAATCACTACAGCTGAGAAATACATATTTCTCCATAAAGCAATCAATCAGATCATATTTAAGAGCTACTTACTAGTATAAGTCAGCTGAAATCCTTGGTCAGTATCAGATCCATTGGTATTAAACTCTATCCACATATGGTTAGAGGTGCTATTAAGAGTAACTCCCATCATGTCGTTTTTGGTGAAGACTCCAAGAGAGCGTGAGGAGCTGTCTTTTCCATCATATACCTTGCAGAAATAAGAGCATGAAACTGGACATTAAATCTAAATATTTGAAACATTTTCATTTGCACAGTAATCCCAAAGTTAGTAATGTATTACCAATAGTTCCTCCAAAATCTTAATGTATCTGTTTTGAGATGTATATATGACTGGGTTATACAATTCAGTGAAATCTTAAATATTCTATCCCCCTTAAGGTGTTTTATAGTCTTTTGCCTGTTCAATTTTGTGAGCTCATCTTGAAAGAAATTAATATTTATATGCAATTCTATCTTCTGAGGTTTCATAAACTCAGATCATTTTCTTGAATATTCACAACGGCCAACAAAGGTATATGTTCTGAAATCAATATTGAAGGTAAACCCTTACAGCCTACACTGTTCTCTCCTGTCTGGATATATCACCAGACAAAATGAGATATTGAAGTCAATCTGTCATCTTTTATCTCGGGCTCTAAGCCTGCAGCAATTTTGGTTTACTACAGGATTTAGCAATGACTGATAAGTTTTCAAAATGATATGTGAGCCTGTTTCCAAACTAATTGTAGGGATGTTCTTATTTACCATGTTACTCTACTGAAAGCTTTCAACAATATCAACCTATGTACTTTTTCAAATCCTGGAATTTTTAAGAATGCCTTTTGACCGTTCACAAATACAGGAGGAGTACAAACTCTTGCCAAGTAATTTTAAGTAATTTTGATTTTTTTTCTTATTGCAAAATCTTGAAAGTCACACAGTGCAAAAATAACTTTCTGCAGTTTGTTTTTGGTTTGTTTTCTCAAGATGAACTTAAAATGCTAATTTCTTCTTTAAATTAAGTAAATCTCCTCTACTTTCTCATGGAAAAATAATCAATATGAAGTGTGTACATACATGACATACATGAAATGACCTGTCAATGCTTATACAAAATCAAGAAATGGATTTGAACAGCAGGTTTCTGATAGGAAGTGAAAGATAATTTGCCCTTATCTCATGTATCCTAGAGTTACTAGAGAAAACCAGCAGAAAAGCTACAATTATAGTGATTTCAAGCACTGAATCTTCGTGCCTCCACCTGCAGACCTTGTGGTACAGTGTGAATTTATACTGATTCCAGTGAGAAACAGGAGTGTCCCATTTAACAATCTAAGTTGCTACAACTGAGTCACTGTCAGTTCTTCCTATTTGACTGTCCTCTTAGATCTATTAACAAAATTTAGGATTGAATCTTTTGTGATGACAAACCATTGCAACATTTGTAGTGGGGACCAACCATTAAAAGGAGCTCTATTTTTTCTGTGAAGAAAATACCAGCACGGCATCTATAGGTAAGTGTCTTGAAAGTACCATGTTCATCTCAAATGCCATTAATAAAATGAAATAATAAAAAAAATTGCATAAATATTTTTTAAGATAAAAGCATATATTTACTTTTATAAACCTACATAGATGTAAATAATTACATACTCTAAAAAAAAATTTGAAAAATAATATATTGTGCTAGCCATTGATAGAAGAAAACATTTGGTCTTCATTATTGATGAAAAGATTGTCCTATACCAAGGCATACAGATGAGATGTCTCAGAAGACACAATCCACTGTATTTAAGGTTCATGCAAGCAGTTACACATACTTAAGGTCCACCTCTTGGAAGAAATATTATTTTAAGCTATGCTAAGAGTGTCTGAAAAGTTACTTGCAATCTTCTAGCTATTGTCTTGGGACACAACTACCAATCGATTTCATGGACAGATTGCACTTTATTTATTAGAGCTGGAAATCTATTGTAAAAAGTAAAGAATCATTTGTTCCCCATAAGATTTATTTCCAAAGATATATTACACATGATCTGGGAGATAATACTTGAAATGGTATGTTCCACTAATTGTCATTAATTAAAAATGCTGCCTATGTTTAAAAAGAGATTTTTATTCATCTATAAAACAAAACAAATAAACAAAGAGAAAACCCCAGAGATAAAGATTACATACATCTTGTTTCAACAGTGTTCTACCTCACTGACAGAGATACTCTTCCTACCTGAGTACTAACAAGTAAAATAATAAAATCCCTCAAGATTAATCCAGACCCAAATGAAAAGAGTGTTTTGTGAAATTAAAATTAGATATGAGAGAACCTGTGAGAACAGCTGTATAGAAAATCCCAGACAAACAAACAAACAAAAAAAAGACTGTGATGAGACATTTGTGATGACTTGTCCATCTGTTGCTCATTTTACAGACATAAGCCAGTACATATCTACTTTAATAAGTGAAACAGCGTTAGTGAACAAATACAAGCACTGAATCTCCCTTGTCTACACTGAAAAGTTGGTTAAGCCATCTTAGGAAAGAAAATGCATTTTTACCAGTGCTTGTGATGCTAATTAATGTGAGCCAAGGATCATTCCCAATAGACAGCTTTTGTACAACTATTGTGTCATGTCATATGCCACTGATTACAGAAGTACAAAATACATTTAATAAATTAGTCTAGACTATTTATCACTATTGATTTACATTTACTACATGCATTTAACTTATTAAGGAGAACCCATTTGAAATATAATTCACATGCTGCAATTACAATTTCCTCAGTCATGAAGAAAAAAAGATCTATTTGGCAAAAGAGATGAAAACCAGAATATTACATTCTGCTTTTCCTCTTACCTCTGACAAATTCACTGAAATTGCATTATAAAGATTCGGGCATAAGTAGCTACTTTAAAGAATTATGAATCTTCAAGTGGCAGTTAAAACAGGGATAGCAGGAAGATAAAGTATTAGTGAGTGAGAAATGATAAACTCTAAAATAAATAGATAATCCAAGTATTCACTTTTGTCATGTGTCCTTCAAAATAGTGACACTGTTTCTAATACTTTACTTGAATTTAAATTTATATGCCGCTATTTCAAGTTCAAATTTTGTCACAGCTATAGAATGCTTTGCCCTCAAATTACAGACATTAACCTGCATGTATTCTTCTTGAGAGCAATAGTTTTGACCCTTACTCATGCACCAGTCTTATTGATACCAGAAATGCTCCAGCAAATTATATGCCATTCCATTCACCCTACAGCCTCAATATCCAAATATCCCACTTGAATACTGAGCTGATATATAGAGCTGCAGATTAGTTTATATTCTTAAAGCAAGTAAATAGCGACAGTATGAGTCAAGTCACCACAACTTGATTGTCTACACAGTATTTATTGTCAGTACATCTCTGGAACACATTTAATGCAGACTTACTAATGCCTTCATGAATTAGTGCAGGAGCTGCATAGGCCAAGGACGGTTTCTGGACACTGTTCCAGTGAGCCACTTTATTGTTCAATATGCGAGAGTTTAACATTAGAGGTGTAAAACTGCAGAAGCTGGTCTTGGGGACAGCGGGGAATGATAACTGCATTGTTTGGAGCTGTGTTTAGAATTTATTTAGCCAGAGCATTTGGGGATGCCTCTTTTTCCCTATTTCTGAGAAACTGAAAGTGTTTGATTTTCTTGCTGGGGTTAAAATATGCAAACAAAAGAGGACAGCGCTACAATTATTCATGAGGAGAAATGCTCCAATAACAGTGCTAATGTATCTGCACCTGCTGTGAGAATGGACAACACTCACCTGAAGGAAGAAATGCTGGCTAGAGTTTCTTAATGTTTCTTGAAGTTTCTCACTCTGACAGTAAAAAAGAAATTACTTACAACTAAATTTACCAAATTTCCTTAATTGCTGAGATTTTATAGCATAAAATCATCCCAAAGGAACACACTTTTAAAATATTCCTTTGGAAGCTGGGGAGGCAAGGCCTGTATAGTTTGCTGATATTGATAATACCCTGAAATCCTTTCAGTACATCCTCATGGAGTTCCTAGTGATCTTATCTGAAACAGTAACATTGTATGCTTTGTCTGACACTCCTGGTGGGTTGATCTTGGGATTATTACATTATTAAGGCTTTTATTTGCCCTCTTTATCACATACTATTGAGCAGCATTTTTTGCTTTTCTTTACCTACATTTCCCCCAGTGATGCCCCAGCCCTGGCTGTGGCTCAGCCATGCCCTGTGGTGGGGGGTTGGATCTGGCTGGAACTGGTTGTGTCTGACTGGAACCAGCTGTGTCTGGCTGGAACCGGCTGTGTCCGGCTGTGTCCGGCTGTGTCTGGCTGGAACCGGCTGTGTCCGGCTGGAACCGGCTGTGTCCGGCTGGAACCGGCTGTGTTCGGCTGGAACCGGCTGTGTCTGGCTGTGTCCAGCTGGGGCAGCCCCAGCCTCCCCTCACGGAGTCCCCACTGCTGCCGGGGCCTGGGCATTTGTACCCAATGCAACATTATGTACGTACAGATTTTTCTTGTAAAACAGAGTAAGATAGTGAGCTGGGAGCTCCTTCATTTCTGCACGAGGTTTATAAATATTCCTAAGCTTAGTGCATCCCTTAAGAGCTGCTAGCAAGGAAGTCTCACAGCTTCTTCTGTGCAGCACAAGATAGAAGGCTGGGGTTTGTAACACATTTTGCTCATATTTTGGGTGCATATATGAAAAAAAGAAGGCTTCAAAGTCCATAGCCCTGCCAAAGTGCTGATTGGAAATATGTAAAAGGACATCCTGGCATGGGATAGAGAGGAAATAGACTTTATTTTCATAAATGCAGGTAATAGAGACCTTAATGGGTAGACAAGAGCATAATTGTATAAATGGAAGTTGTGCTGTGCAACTGACTCAAAACCAGAGAACAGTGCTTGCAGTTCAGACATCAACACAATTTTGCCTTTGCTTCCCTTGGATCCTCTGAAGTATTGTGTTAAAAAATCTATAAAAGAAGAAAGTATCTAACAGATTGCTCAGAACAGCTTTGTCTCAGGCAAATCTTTCTTGTATCTCTAGGGAATGTCACTAAGTACACTGGACATTACTCATGAGATGTTATGAAGGGTAACTGAGTTTCTTGAATGTTTCTTTAGGGCTTTCTAAGGGATTTTTTGTTGCAGTTTTAAGTAGTTTATTAAATTATTTATAAACTAGATATCTGCAAAGCTTCTGGGAGACTTATGTACCATATTCAAGCAACTCAGTGGGCAATTAAGTTCTTTCTTTGCTGCATCTCTTCCAAGCAAAAATACTTCTGGGGATCTGCACTGTCAGACCATGGATAATGGGAGCAAAGGACAATACAGGCCACATATTTTGTCCACCAACTCAATTCCCTTTGGTCTAAAAGCAAAACCAAGGTCTTGCAGTGTTTTATACATGGTAGTATTTATTATCAATGTTTTTGTTGGTAAAGACAGAGAAAATGCTGGGGTTTTGATTGTAACTTTCTAATCTACAAACTAAACTATAAGCTTTGCTTATTTCATAGTCAAATGCAGACTGTACTTGTTGAAAATAACAGATATAATAACAAAGATATAAATGTCTGTATTAAAATGAAGACTTTTTTTCTCCCCACCTTCATCCTATCTCTAAATGCCTTTTTTTTTTCAGGAATTGAATTGTCACACTTAATTACATAAGGAAGCTCTTAAGATGATGAAATGGATAAAAATATAGCCACCAATATTTGATCCATAACAATTATATCTTTAAACTTCTTGTGAGAAGCACTCAGTGCAAATTAAAAAAATCAAGTTTGAAATGTAGACAGCAATTTCTAACATGTTAAATGGGCTGCTGGGAGATATCCAAAAAGGAAGTTGCTAACTGAATTCTGAATACTTTGTGATTTTAAGTATTAATTAACTGAAAATTTGGAGACATAAATTTGAAAGACTAATTTAATGTATGGTCCACACTTCAGATGAATATCAGGATTTTCAGTACATACAAGAATGCATCACCTACTATTAGGAAAAGGCAGCTTATTACCATGCTGTAAAAAAATACATGCTCAAAATCTATATATAGGCCATGTTTTGAAGGTTACCTGCAGTGTAAAAGAATGAAAGACATCTTCTATAAATACAGATTTAGTAAATATTGAAATGTTAGTTCCTGTTTAAGGGAAATACCAAAAATCCCTTTGTTACCCTTATAAATATTGTGCAAAGAGAAAACAAAAAATACTAGGTACGCAAAGGCGAAGTTCCAATTTTAGGTTTCCTTTTAAGATTTAAGCCACTAATACTTCTAGAAATTCAATTGAACTCACAATGTCTCCTATAGTTTCTTTGAATCTAGTATAAATCATTGAATCCAGTATAAAAGCAGTGATGCTATCCACCTAGGATTCATTAATTTTGTGTCAGAAAGTGAAATGCAAATAAAGACAATTGGCACTGGAAACAGATTTATTCATGCAGTGTGAATATTTAGCACAGAAAATGAAATACTTTTTCTTGTTACCTTAACAAGATCCCCCTCATGCAGCTGAAAGCTCCTGGCTCTAAGATGGATCCCTTTGCCAGCTTCAGTTTCAATTTTATAGATACATTCATGGTTGTTGTCATAATTAGATGGAAAATTTGGAGACAACAATGTTCCTTCATTTCCAGAGACAGTTGCTCCACATTCAGCTAAAGAAAACAGACACATTAAAAAAAAAGAAGTGAATTATCCAATTCAAGAAAATATGAGTTATTAGCAATAATACTTAGACTCTATGAAATCTCTAACAGGCTGTCTAAGAAAATTATATTTCTATTAGGTCTCATCTGTAGGATCAACTCCTAGAAACCCTATCAAAGATGCCATCTCCTGCATTTCACTGGGTCTGTTTATTATGCACACTTATGTGCTTTTAACTCAAATATGTCCCCTGGTCCTCCCATCAGACTAACCTATAGTGCAGGTTAGCCTGGATACCATAAAAATTCAATGCTTTATTGAAACACAGTTATTGTGGTAACATTTCAGATAAACATAATATTGATTTTACCTCTGTATTGAGCTTTACAAATAAGTATTTATAAAAGCAGACAATAAGATGTCAAAAAACCCAACAAACAAACGAAAAAACAAACCAAAACAACAATCTGGTACTAAATCAAGAGCATTCAAACATGTTTTTCTCTCTCTGGAATAAGACTGATAACAAAACAAAACAAAACAAAACAAAACATTTACTGATAATCAGGTAAAGAGTAGGTGAGTCTTTTTCATAGCCAACTGTAGTAAGGACCTATTGACTCTTTCATTAGGCATTTCTTGTTGCAGTTCCCCAGCAAAGAAAACAATAAAGAGTAGGAGAAGTGGTATGTTCCAGATCATGGGCTCAGTTTGAATTCTGAACAACGACTAATAAAATTATTAAAACATAAATTCGATCACATAGATGAAAACACCCAAACAGACAGCAAATAGTTGTGTACTATTCAATATACATTAAAAACGCCCTAAAATCACCTTATAAAATCCCACAGTAACATTAACAAACCAACTATTAATCTTCAGCTTCTTTTTAGATGCATGAGATTGATATTGATTTCTCATTTTTCAATCCAGGAATAAAATATGTGTTTTTTGACCTAAACATCATTAGACCTCATTCAGAGTTTTGGAAAAACATAACAGATAAAATAACAATAAATTAATGTATAATTGTAAAGCAACAGATATGCCCTGTCAGAGAAGTGATAGGTTTAGATAAAAATCTGTATTTCTTTTAAAAATGTTTAATAGATTTTTAGAGTTCTTAGGATGGTAAAACATTTATTTGAAGAAGTGGGGGAGGGAGGGGGTGGGGAATACATTTTTAGGTAAAACTCAATATAGTTTAACAAGCATACGTGTAAAGGATAATTTTGAAAATTTGCATAGATAGACCAGCAAATATCTCAGAAAATAATTATATAAACATACTTAAGAAGAAATGTATGATTTATATTTACAAATAAACAGTCTAAATATCCTGTATTTACATTTCCGAGGTCTTCACAGATATCAAATTTATGTGCATCTTGCTTTTGAAAAGTATAAAATTAGTGGTTTTTTTACTTCCTCCCTACAATAAATCTGAAGAAAGAAAGGGAGTAAGAAGGAGGAGACAGAAGGAATGAATGGATGAAGGGAAGGTGCAAGGAGGGAAGTGGGGATGAAAAGCACAAGAAAGGAAGGGGGAATGAGACAATTACAATCTTACATGGAGCCTTATTTCTACTCTGCCTTTGGGATCTCCTTAGTCAAAATGAAAAAGAAGATCACAAATAAACTGGTTCAGGATCTTTATCTACCATGTTCTGTCAGAGTTCATTTGCTGTTTTAAAGTAGAACTTTTTATTCTCCCCTTCCTTAGTTTCAGTTTTGAGCTACATATATATATACCTGTTATATTTAACAGGTAGAAGGGTGTTGGGGAATAAGAACCCCTGCCACCAAACTTCAGACAGATGAACTCTTTTGTTGTTGGGGAATGTAGAATGCATAAGGTATTTCTATCATATTTAAAGTCACCTTACATTGCCTAAATGTTTCAAAGAGCTGTAGTACACTGAGAAATTAGATTTTTATTTCAATACTACTTTGGTAAAGCATAGCCATATGTAATACATGTCTCTCAGTACCTCTTAGTGCATACATGTCCACATGTAGCTATTTTTGTCTTACATTTTAGGAAGAAGGTGAAACTGATTAAGTTTGTAAAATTAATTCAGAACAATGCCAACACTAATGCCACATTAATGTATAACATTTACAACACCAGTACTCTATACAAGCCCTCTGCAAACAAGTGCCTAGGTAAAGGTGCATGAAAAAAAACCAATGTCCCTTAGGCTACATCAGTATCTTATTATCTACCTCCTTTAAGGAACCAGAAATACACAAGTACAATGTCGAAGAGAAAAAGGTATGGAAGCAAAGGTTTTTTCTTAATTAATGTTCATGCAATATTCTATGTTGTTTCAGTGAGTGAATGTAAATCACTAAGACATATGCAGTTATAGAGAAAGCGTACAATGAGCTTTCCAAAATCTACAACTGGACACATTTCTTTCTCCAATAAGTCTATGTTCCAAGGTTCAAAGCCATGGTAATTTCAATCTGTAAATAAAAATACTGACGTATAAGATCAAGGATAACAAGCTATAAATTAAAGTTAAAATACTACTACCTCTCTAAAGTATACTACTTTCTGCAAGAAGCAGAGGTACTCTAACATGAGCAATTATTTACTAAACTTGAATTACATAGCAAAGTTCTCTGAACTCAATTGGGCATTCATATAACTCCAAGCCATGCTATAAAACCATATTCTGTTTTCAGTGCATGTGTTGTGGTTTAGATTTGCTAATTTCATTTCCCGGCCAATGCACCAAATAAATGTCATGGTTTTAAAGCAGTAACTAAAAAATTACTAGAAAACTTACTTATTTTTTGCTGTGAGATATGGATTAGAACAAGAGCAAAACAGGCTTAAAACTTAAAAGGAATATAGAAAGTTTATTAACAAACTACAAGAATAACAAAACCAGAAAAAAACTTCCAGAAAGCCCCTTTTTCTCCCACTACCCAACCATTCCCTTGTTCACATGACAACACAGAGACAAAAAACTTTGGAACTTTGGTGTTTAAAACAGTCACAATTCCTGCTAGAGTCTTTTCATCAGTCTTTGTAGAGAAACAGAAGTGTCCTTCTGCTAATCTATGGAGTTTCTCACAAGAAAACTATTTCTGTTATAGCTTTCTATTTCTCTGATGCCAGCTGCCATCAGTCTACTCCTCCCATTTCACATCACTCTGAGGTGTGTATGGGTCAAATGAGTCTAGGGATGTCATTTTAAAGGATGAGTTATTCAAAGGCAAAAGTTTTCTTGATAGGTCTCTGTGAGCCTCCCTGGAAACAGAAGTTTTCTCTTTGCCTCAAGTGCCCCCAAATCTTCAACTATTACTTCTTCCCCTCTGTTCCAGCACCTCAGTGTATCACAATTACTCCACTTTTTGCTCAAAATCCACACTTTAAACACTCCATTCCTCCCAATATACTCTGCCATGAATGAAAGGAGGTTTTTTTTCAGAACACTATTGTCCATCTCTATAGCTTTAACAGAAAAATATTTCAGCTTATAAAGCATCTCCTTATTCTCTCTTCCCCATCTAAAAGTTAATTCTTTTCTCACTGTCTTTGATAGTTTTATGATGTCTTCTTTATGTTGACTATCCCTCTCTCTCTCTCTCTCTCTTCCCCTCTCTCTGGGAAAAAGGAGTAATCTGTAAGTTTCATCCAGGCAGTAAAAGAGTTAAAGATTTGGAAAGGCTGCAGATGTTCATGGTGTCAGGTTTCAGTTCAGCAGCAGAAACTGCAAACCAAGCCAGGCCGGCCAGCTCCGTTTCTCCCCCCACCCTCTGCGACCTTGTCCGGCCTGGAGCGGGGGAGGAGGCCAAGACAGAGCCTGTTACCTCTTCAGAAGCCAGAGACCAAAGAGAACAAGAGAGCCCTGGCTTTACATCTTAAGGTGGTGTTCACAAGTTGATCTTACTTCTTAATGGTTAAAACTGCCCCCAGTTCTCAGAAGTGACTGATAATTGGTCAGGAGAAAAGACTCCCATCAGCCCCTAGAAGCTTCAACTTCCTTAGCTCCCAAAGCTATCTTAAAGGTAAAGTCAGCCCATAACAGCATGTTACCCATTTTCAAATCCCTTGAAAATATCTGACAGTTACGCAGTTTCGTCAGGCCCCATCATTCCCTTCGTTATCATGACAAAGGCTTGCTCATGTCGTCTGGCCAGTCAACTTTCCTACCTTGTGCTGTGTCAGTCAGCAAATTACTAACACAGACCCCAGAAAGAGGCTTCCAATGGAAATTAAGCTCTTCGTTCTAACTTCCCATCCTCATTTTATACAAAACCTGTCACAGCTCAGGTTTGTAGCACTTCCCATCCTCATTTTATACAAAACCTGTCACAGCTCAGGTTTGTAGCTATATTCTGCTAATATTAGGATATCAAGTCAAGGCTCTGAAGTACATATTATGAGGTAACAGGCATTCCTTCTCTATGTTGCATGTCTCTCTTACATTTGTTTCTGTATCAATTTATTTCACTTTTAAAGATGCAAATACAGTGATCCAAAGTTTTAGATTTTTTTAATATCAATATGCTCAGTGAGACCTAAACCAACTCCGTAGATTAAAATACGGAGGGAGGGAGGGAGGGAGGAATATTCTTGGAGAAATAACATGAAATAGCACCTACTCTGTTCTGACAAGATCTGTAAAGTGAAGAGGCTTTTTTTTTTATATTAAAACACATCTAAATCACTTGCTACATAGCTTAAACAAGCACAAAATAAACAAAATTTGCTTTGTAAATATCAGTTGCTTACATGGATTCAATCTAGATTCTTCACTTTCCAAATCTATCAAACTGTGGAAGCCTGCCAAAATCCTTGAGGACATCTGCTTTATAAAGAAAAAAATCTATATGATATGGCCTCTGTTTCAAAAGTTGGAAAGCAGATAAAAACAGATTAATTTAATTATCTATTATAAATTTTGAATCTTGAGTGCTTTTTAAAGTTAGATTTATTTTTTATTAAAAAATCAAAAGTATCCACCTTAGAATTCAAAGGGTATACTCA